TCTGATGTAGAGCTGAAGTGGGGCGGGGCACCGTCTCAAGATAATGGCCCTTCCAATTCGTCAAATCCTTCGCCTAGTGGTCAAGCATCAGAACTTCCTTCCAGGTGATGGTGGCACTGCCATGGATGAATGTCTCTTTAAGAAGAGTAGACAGACAGAAAAACAGAGAGACACGACAGTTCAGTTTCACGAATTTTAGCTAGTACCTACCTACGACCACCTTTTCCATTTGTATTTTTGTGTGTGTTTCTCTGAGCCATTGCTTTGGATTATGGCTGTTTATTCTCCATGTACATCCTTTTGTCTTTGTTTTGCGAAATGAAGTTGTAGGGAGTATGAATCTGTATATTATTGTTGTCGTCACAACGTGTTGGAAGACACCATGAAAGGCCAATTTGCCTTCCGGCAGTATCTTAGGTGGTTTTATTTATTTATTTCTCTTTCTTTAATACGTAAATTATATACATATTTAAGTTGATGGGGTTTTTGTAATGTGATTTATGACTTCGTAGCTCCTCCTTCCTCCTTACTGGTGGTCCATCTATAATAATAATATTTATATATTACAGGAAGGGTTTAACCCACCCAATAATTAAAAGAAACAATGAGGAGCTTGTAGCTCAAGCGGTTAAGAGAAGTAACAATGAGGAGCTTGTAGCTCAAGCGGTTAAGAGCAGTTAGTTATTCATGCATTCGAGAACTAAGAGCAGTTAGTTTGAGATTTTGTGTTCGAATCTCTTTCTTTCTAGTTATTCATGCATTCGAGAACTAAGAGCAGTTAGTTTGAGATTTTGTGTTCGAATCTCTTTCTTTCTGGATTGTGAGAAGGGTAGGGACTGTGTTTGTGTTTTTAGATTAACAAAAAAACAAACAAAAGAGACGGCCCAATTGCTTTTACCTACAACTCTTCGTCACGTGGCAACATAAAATTGGAGGACACATGATTATAAAATATAATAAGACGTTTTAGCTGCTCTGCTCTGAGCTTTTGCATCCAAAGAAGCAAATTAAGACGACGTTTTGCACGTTTGGCCATTTTTGTTGCGAAGAAGACTCGCAGTCGCAGGCACCAACTCTTACTTCTACTCTTGAGTTGAGGCTTCTGCTCCCACCACTTTGTCTTCTTTTTATTATTATTTTTCTCTCTCTCTGTCTCAAAACACAGATTCGAATCGATTCCCTTCGCTTCCTTGGGCTCTCAAGAAACCCAAAGCTTGGTAACGTCTCCTTATCTCTTTCTCAACCTCTCCTTTTCTGTTTGGTTGCCGGGAAAACGCCCGGCCATGATTATATAAACGAAATAGACGAAACTAGTTTCCAAAATTTCCTAACATCTTTTCATTGCTTTTGGGTCCCCCACAAACTTCAAGATTTATGCCAGTTAGGGTTTTCTTGCTTGATTTTCCCGGTAACCGAACGGAGTGGAAGAACACAAAATTTTCATGGAATCCTAAACTTTATTAATTTGAGAAATTTAATTGAGTATTATTTTTCAGCAGCCAAATTGGTTCTGAGTTTTGCACTCAATATAATTGTTGATCTTACATTTATGTCTCGTTTATCATCAGAACTAGGCTAAAGGATCTGAATGGAGATGCCATCAAATGAGAATTCACAGCCCTCAATGAATTCTACCAGTGATGCTGATAATCAGCATGAGACGATCGTTCCTGATGGTTTAAATAATGCGTACGCTCTTCTTTCCCTATACATTTTACTGTGTGTCCTACACGTTTTCTAATAACAAGGAAGTATAAGAACCGTCTATTGTGTGATGCAACTACCTAATTGTTGTAAATGGGAGCTGCTCTCACTGACTACTCGGCTGCTTCGCTACACTTAATTATTTCAACATCTTATACCACAGTGATGCATTGTTTGTGAAGCTTTGTGCACTAACGGGCCTTACTATCTAGTCAATACGCTTTTCAGTGATGTACATATTCTAGGGATCAGTAAATGTTTTGCCCTCTAGGGATCAGTAAATATTTTTCCCTTAAAATTGGGACCGTAGAAAGGAAATTCAGGAAATTCACCTTTTCACTTCATATAAGGGTTGGAAGACTTCTTTCCGCCATTTATGTTACTTATTTTTTGTTTCTGATTTCATATTAAGAAAGTGCTGTGTTGAACTTGATATTTAGATGTAAGGAGTCCAAGCATGAGGTTGCTGAAGAAGAAGTTAGAGGCATACTAGCAGTTGTTGCATCCACCGGAAAATTTTGGTAAGCTGTTATTTTGGCGTGAAATTCTCTCATTTGTGTGTAGCATATTAGTGTATTATTCTTTGTGCGTGTATGTGTTAGTTGTGTTTACTCTAGGTATAATGTACAAAAAGGTAACATTCTTAATCCATTTGTTTTTGCTTGGTATTTAAACTTTATTTATTTATTTATATCTCACAGGCATGATTGGGACAAATTCAAAAGCATGCTATCCTTTCAGCAGAAGCAGGTATGGGGAGGTATGCCAGCATGCGGCTCTTCCGCTATTTATGGTTGTCACACACATGCGTGCACACAAGCACTCTTAATAGATGTGCATGATTGCATTCTAGTTCCAAGATTATGGTATTTATCTCTGTCTCTCTCACTCTCTTCCCCCTCTCTATTTCTCTTCTTCCTTGATTTATGAAGGTTCTGTCAGAGTATCCTGAGGGAAAAATGGCAGATGAGCAGCAAATTGCTTCTTTAGGAGAAACCTACCCAGAACTGGTGAAGAGGTTGGATGAAGGTATTCTCATTCCCCTGATCATATATGAAATCAGCTTAAGGGCATGGAGCTGAAATTATATTTTAGTTTATGGTGTTAGGGTCTACAGTTTTATTGAATTTTCAGTTCCTTTTTTTATAAAGGTAATTGCTTATAGTTTGTTTCTTCACTGCAGCTCTTAATAGTTTTACCGAAGGTCCTCCATTTACGCTTCAGAGGCTTTGCGAGGTGTTCACTTCACCTTTATATTATGTATCATGCGTTACCTCTCTGCAGTATTCTTTATGATTGTGTCTTTCATCCCTTTGTCGACACTTTTCAAAGCTCCATGCATTGAATTAGTTGGGTTGAATTTGTCTAACAATATGTACCTTTTTTTTTTGGGTCAAGTACAATAGGTACCTTTCTGAAACTGCTATTCCCTTCTTACCCCCTCTTTTCACCCTTCTGTTCTCCTTAGAAGTTTGTTTCCCTATCATTTGTAACTGTAAAAATGGTGGTAATTGGATGTAGTTTTTATAATTTAAGAGTAGTTTGCGGACCTTTAATGAGTGCTTGCATCTTTTATAATATGTATCTCTTTACGAGATATAATTTTGTATTGAAATTTTTGTTGAACAGATCCTATTGGATGCACAAACCACCTATCCAAATCTCTCAAAGCTTGCTCTTGCACTAGAAAAGGTATAGTAATGAAGAACTTGATTCACTGTTTTCCATCTCAATGCATCTGAGGTTGCTAAGAGCAACTTTAATGGGGGGATGTAAATGGTTACTTTATCTCCACCATTTACTCATCTTCCAGCAGTTTAGTGGGTTTCTTCCTTAGTTGGAATGATATAAAGCTGCTCTAATGCTTCCATTTAAGTTTTTGGGCAAAGAAACTCTTGATTTAAGCTTATATATGCCAACCTTATTTTAACTAATACAGAAGTAGTCTACTTAAGTTCCAACTTGCATATTTATTGTTTATATTTTCTTGAAATTTTGATTTGTAGCATTACAACTTGCATTTTCTTTTTTGTAGAATCTATTGGTGACAACTATGCTGACCGTCTCAACCGATCCATGTCCACAACCCATGGTGCAAAATTCAGCTGAACCAAACAAAGCAACTGAAGAACCTAAACTTCACTCTGATTCAGTGCAAAATGGGGTGGAACCTATGGTAGGTGATAGGGATGAAGTAATGGCAGAGGTAGAACAAGCTGATATTGATGATGATATGACCATTGCCATAGAAGCTTTTGAAGATATAGTTGGATCATCAGAAACAAATTCAGTGCAGACCAATAATTCTTAGCATTCCAGTGATGTAGTCGAGAGGTGTTAATCCAACAAAGCCCATTGGTTCACATGAGCAACTTGGTTGGATCATTAAATCTGGTACTGGGCTTGGTTAACCATCAAGTTAGCAGCATTAGTGGAAAGTATGGATCCTGGTCACATAGATTCGGGAAGATTCTTATTCATATTTATGCCTAAATGATGTAACTATAAAATAGGGAGCATTGCATCAAGAATTATTGGCTGGCTTCTGTAGCTTTTAGAATTTTGCTGCTGCATTGTTTTTAACGGATTTGTCCATCAAGCTTGTATTATGCATTTGTTGTTGATATGCGGGTAAGGCAAGAATATAAAATATTTGAGCCAAATATTGACGATGATGACATTGCCGTGGCAGTTGCATGGCGAGGTTTTCTAATGAGAATTTCATTAATTATTGATTGAACAAAATTTGCTGTGTAGATCCTTACTCACAGGTCATTGATACTTGGCTTGCTTGATTTTGCATATTGAAATAAATGTCTTTTCCAATTTTTTATGTTCTGAATTCAGAACGTCATGCTTAATGCGCCTATATCGGAATCCGTCTGTTTTGGACGGAAAGCGGAAAGGGTGAGTAGAACGGTAGCGAAAACTAAACCTTCTCTGGCCTAAACCGAGATATGTTCACTCTGTGTGCACTTGTTCAAATTCGCTGTTCTGTTATTAAAGGAGAAATCATTTTGCAACAACTCGAGAAACTCCGGGGATTGACGATACTAAAAAAGGGAATGGGTAGAATATGGAATTATTGCATTGCTTTATATGGGGTAAAGATCAAAACTTGAGTGTTGGAACCAAACAAGAAAAGAAGTTTAGCCTTGGAAGTTTGATATTTAACAGCATGACTTTCATGGAAATATACATATTTATCTGAACGATTAGCTTTTTTTTATATTAAATCAGAACGACTTATATATCGGAGAGAATAACATTCAATCAAAAATTTAAAACTTTGGCAATTAAACAAGTACGTTGTCTCGTAGCCAGATTTTTACTTTCTTTTTTGGGTGTAAAATTTGTCATATGTACAGTAAATAGCTATTCCATTTCATCCTTGAAGAAATCAATAGCAGACCAAAAAATTAAAATTGTTTGGCCCCACTCAAATAACAGTTTCTTTCTTCCCTCTTTCCAAATTTCTTGTTATGCTCTAACTTCAACCACGTCACCATCTGTGAGCTTGGTATTGGGTAAGACCAGTTGACCATTAACCCAGACCAGTTTTCCCTCCAGTCCTACTCTTCTAGCAGCATCTGCAGCTGTGCTGCCAGTTCTCAACCTCATGATGTCACCATTGGGCAAACATATAATCACCACTTCCCCAAGGTCGACAGAACCAGGACTGCCCTGAAACTTTTCACTTTGCTTTGCTTGTCCAAGACTTGCTTCTGAGCGTAGCTGCTCTTCCCACCGTAGCATTGTCCTTAACAACCGCACCTTGAATTTGAAAGCAGGCATTAATTAATTAGCATTTGGAGCCCTGTCTGTCTTGTGTGTCTACTATGTAGCAATACTAAGAGAGAGACAACCACATCCAAAATCACACTACAAGCAAGCCATGCAATTCATTGACTGCAGCAGTAGGTCATCTAGGAGCCATGATTAACAGATCATAACTATGGAATGAATCAATAAGGCTATCATGCTCGAAAGCAAATGTAAGCAAGAAAATTTCAACAAACTGGTCATTAACAAAATGGGCTTCACAATGGCAAGGTCACAGGCAAACCTTGTTATTGATGCTAGTTTCCATGGAAGTTGATGCAGCTGAGGTAAACCTTGGTGTCGACGTAATATCATCAAGCTGTCTTCCATCAAAAACAGCAGAAACAACCGCCCAATATTCAGATTCTTCTTGATCCGTCAAATCAATGACCTGAATGAAGGTTGGCAACAATCGCCCAAACTGGTCTTGCTGCACAAGGAAGCAGTATTTAACCTAATTGTGGATTTCTGGTGTCCTTGTATGCTTCAGTCTGAATCATTTCACATTGTTGACATTCATACACTCTCTGAGTCTCTCAGGTTGCTATAGATGTTTTTGAATTTTCTTTCTCTAATTCTGAACATACATTTACAATTTCATTTTGAGATCATCTGTGTGGCCTACAAATCCCAGGAAGTACATGTTAAACATACCTTGTGGTACATACCATCTCGACAGAGTGCATATTTCTCTAGGCAAGTGCACCAATCCCCGTGTCCTGGTTCACACCACCACTCATCAGTCACCTGGAATATGAAGTCAAAGAAAATAGGGTAACTTGTTACTTGAAGGAGCATAATGGAACTCAATTAGGAGATACTTTGAAATTTTTTGTAATTTCTCTGCAAATAAAAAAAGGAAGGGGACACAGGCAAGGATGATGATGATTTGCAGACTAAGAAAGTTTGGAGGCAGGTCAACTTCAAGTGACAAACTATCTTTAGATTTCAACCTCTTTCCATGAATGAAGCTTTAGATTAACTACACTATGGAATCAATATGTGAAGTAAAGCAAGCCAACCTTCTTGTACAGCCTCGCATAGGCTTCCCACCGTTTTATTTGGAAAGGAGATTTTCTATCAGCTACTGCTTCAGAAGCTGCCAGTCCAAAGCTCACTGCAACGAGCAATTCCCTTCCATCTTTGTCTACTCTGCAATGTCAAGTTTAACACAAATCTTAGTGATTGGCATGTTCGTAGAGCAATTTTTGCAAATTAGACATCAAGTAGTTATATACCTAATGATAACAGCAGCAAGAAGATGACTTCCTTGCACTCTAAGGACCGGATGCCCAATTTTCAACAAACTATACTTCTGAAACAAATCATCTTCTGTAGAATTTTGGTCCTCCATATTTGTGGAGAAAAAGGATGACGCATCTATTTCAGATTCATCTGTGCTACTTATGTTAGACAATTTGTTTCCAGTTTCTTTATAAAGCCAATGTGCTGCAAGTCCATGTTCAGCATACTCGTGCATCCTCTGCATAATATGAAATGAAATTTAGGAGTGTCAGCTAAACTTTAAAAACAAATGGTAGCAAGTAATTCTGATCTCCTTTAAATTTGGAAGAAGTTTGGCACCTGTGTTCGTATTTGAACTTCCAAAGGTGATCTGTCAGGACCTTGTACTGCAGTGTGCAGAGACTGCAGATGGGGATTTGCAGTTAAGATATGAAAAGTGCCCTCTGATAAAGTTACAAAACATATACATTACAAAATACATATAAAACCTATATCACATTCAGTTGGAACAGTCCAACCATGGCTCAAGAGTTGGGGATATTAGAAATTGAGAAAAATGGAGTGAAATCATTTAAAAGGACCTTCCAAAAATATGGAATCATGAACTGGAAAATCTGACCTGATAGCCGCTAGGCTTTGGATTGATAATGTAATCATCAAACTCACCATCAATCGGGGTCCAATGTCTGCACATTAGAAATTATAAATATAAGTCAATCTGCCTATGTATATATATAGTCCCCTTCTATTGAGGGATCCCCTACAATAATTTTATATATACAGTCCCCTTCTATTGGAAATCAGTCTGTTATCTATCCGAGTCTGGAAAAAGAAAGTTGCACTACAGATAAACTTGTGGCAAAATAGTCATATAAATAGTCAATTATTAAGTTACTGACAGCAAGAGTTTCACATTACCCAAATTTGAACATACACGCCATCATATAAATGCATAAAACTACCATTCCGTCACATCTATCACAAACTATCGCTTACCCTAGATCCCACAATAAATAAACGAAAGTATATAAATAGGAGGGTGATATAAAAATAGAAGATCAGTTCAATTTGATTTACTTGTGTACAATGTCAAGAAGATTGTAGCAACACTGGACGGCAGGTCCATGCAAAGTTCCTTTCTTGTCTCCAACAACTACCCTTAATGCACGGGCATCATAAACTTTATTGATGCTGACATCTTTCCGCTTCATCTAAAACAAGTGCAGACAAACGTAATGTTTCAAAAACTTGCAAGGGAATACTACACAAGGGCTTATCTTGAAATAACTGCTATAAGCATCAAATCAAGCACAGAAGCCTTCAAACATATTAAACTGTGAAGTGCATTACCTTGGTGTAGATGCTATACAAACTTTTTAGACGGCTGGATAAAGTTACTTCCATTCCTGGAACATAACTGAAAACATAACACGGCGAGAACACTTAACATTGACCAACTGACACAATAAGGCTATTATAAAAATTGTACGACGACATATATATTTGTTTGTGTGTATATAATTGTAGACATATATACACATAAATTACATAAAACTGCAAGCAGCGAATGAAAAGCGGAAAGAAAGAACGTACGAAGTTGATATGATCAACTCCTGCTCAAGTGCCTCCTCACAAATTACCAAAGATGCTAAAGCAATTCCAGCATGTTGCACAACCTTTGGTCTTGTGTGAGGCTCCAAACCTTGTCCTAGAGTATTGAGAAATTTAGATCGTTTAGTCCGATCTAACAATACATCAAATGGCACTACAGCTTCCAAAAGATCCTGAAAATATATAAAACAGAAGTTTTTAAGCAGTGACTTTAATTTTAAATATAATCCTCATTCTTTTAGTGTCGATTTCTACAATTTCAGGATACAGCATTCAGACGGAAGCAAAAAAAGAAAAAAAGAAATCCTTCTAAATGCTTGCCTTCATGGTTGTGACATCTTCATCAACTGCCATGGACCCTTCATTGTCAGAAATTGAGCTTTTTTCATTTAAGGGCAGCGAGCTGGATATTCTTTTTGAATTTCCTACTTTGCTGCTATGGCTCCACATCAACGCTAGATCAGCTCTCATTTTCTTAAACATTTGAGGCTGCTTATACAAGGAAGATTAGAACATGCTATTGAAGAAGGAACTACAAATGCTCATATAGCAAGTTACATTTGGGTGCAATACAACATACTGGGTTTTGGTAATGACCAAATAGTAATAAATTTAAGGAAAAAAAATCCATTGCATGTTTCTTTTCAGAAATTTTTACAACTAATTAAACAGCTTTAATCACTCAATGGGATAAGGTTCATCCAAATTATATCATATTAACCTTTAATAGAACCATATTTCCACCTCTTCTTTAATTTAGGTACTTAAAGCTTCGCAACTGCATTTTCTAAGTAGCCAAAAAATGCTTAGAAACTACCAGATTCTCTATTGAAACTATATCCACAATGTCCATTGTTTTGCTCTTTTCTTTACTTACACAGTCATTTAAGTCCTGTCTCCCAAATGGCATCATACTAATGTGTTTCCTGCACTAGTTTCTTCACAACGTCTGAAAATTATTCTTGACTTAATCATCTAATCTCCATTTTTGGGTCTGCGTACACTGAGAAAATAAGCTATTGGATTTCAACTCTTCAAGGAAAAACTTAAAACTATGATTGTCGCTTAATGTATCAAAATTCCCACAACTGACTTATTAGAAGCAGTTTTATCAGATATTTAGATCTTCTATGAAAGCCAAAAAGATTGTGAGCAGACCTGAAGAACAGCAAAGCACAGATCTTCCAGTTCAGCTTTCATTGCCCACAAACCCAATCTAGAAGCTAGTGAGCACCAAATTACCAAGGTCTCTTTTGCAACAGCTTGAGCCTTTGTCAGTGGGAGAGCATAACTGTAAAAAAAAGTTTCATCTAGAAGCGTAACCCATCTGCTATTATTATGAGCCTAAAACTTCATAGTGAAGAAGACAAGGAAATTCCAAGCAACCAACAAAACAATAATATGATTATCTTTATCAGCTAAAGTTGGTCACTTGTTGCTAAGGGGGCACTATCCATAGTACCAAGTTACCAACAAAAGTTTCTGTCAGTTGGCCATGTCCCAACAAACATTTCCATGCAATCAATAACTGAAAGATAATAGGATTAACAGGTTCTGTGTTTATATATTATTTAGAATCTTCAAGAGAAGGCAGAAATACTTCATTACAATTTAGTGTTTGTGCTCATTTCAGAGTCAAAACTTGTCTTGAAAAAAGAAATCAAAACTGAGGAATTAAAAGAATATGATAACAATATAAGCTTATAATATCAATGTAAGTTTAGAGTCAGTACATTGTTCTCATATTGTGAAGGCGATCTGCAAGCTTTATAAGCACTACACGTGGATCATCAACCATGCCCAAGAGCATGACTCGTAAATTATTTGCCTGATAGATGAAGAATGCAAGCATGAGATATGGAAAACTGAAGCAGCAAAAAACTGGTGCTCATCTTTAAGAATGAAACACATAAAGTTAATCTTTTATTATGACCTTATGCTTCAATCAGTTGAATTTGATACAACTAAGTGCCCATCGTATCCACATAATTGCTTTAATGGAAGATCACTACATGAAAAGTCATACTTATGCACAAAAGTAATGATGCTTAGATATTTAGAAGTGTAAGTGAGCTCTAAGCAACACATAAAATTACATGAAGATTGAGACATAACAAAAATCTAAAATTATTCTTCAGTAATGATTAATTGTATTTATAATATAATTTTCCATTATATCCTTATTACATCTCAGGTTTCAAGTAATCGTAGCATGGCTGATTCTATATTTTTATGTAGAATATAAGTCCTACCTCCTCATGACCAAGCCTGCCCTGGTTCAAATTTATCCTGCGGTGTCTCCGTAAAAGCTTCAAGAATGACAACAGTTGATTAGAATTTGTATGTCTATAACTTTCTCATTGAAATAATATCTGCACCATTCTTTCCTATCCCTCACATTTCACAGATGAATGTGTCACCGTTTGACATCAGTTGAAGGCAGACTACCAAGAAAAGAAAGCCAGATTACATAACCGGCGTATAATATTAATACCTGATTTATGTAACTTAACCTGGAAACACCAGCAACCAGCCTAGCTACATCATCACCAAACTCCTCTTCTATGTGGGGGAAACTTTCACACGTATCGTCAACCACATCATGGAGAATCCCGGCCACAACTGTCTCAACAGCCTGCAGCAAACTTTTAAGTTTTGATGGAATTAATGAAATGCAAACTTGTTCTTCAGCAGTACCAAGGGTTTTGCTGATTTGGTAAAAGTAAGGGGTGATAAATAAGAAAGATGCATACTCGTTGGCCACTTGAGGGAACCAGCATGGCTAGGATTCTTCCTGTATGGATACAGTGGACTAAATAAGGGTCCCCTGTTCTGCGTAGCTGACCGTGGTGAGCTTTCTTAGCAAATGCAATAGCCTTTTGCACCTGCCTTCACAGTCCACACACACATTGTTTTAGTGGAATTGCAGAGCAATAATCAAATTGTATTTGTATGTATTGAAGCAAGCAGATAATGAAAAATGGCAAACCTTTGGATCATTAAATATGGGATATCCAGTCACGTCTACTCCCTCCACTACAGCAGAACCTGCACCATTAAAAAAGGAATCAAGTTTAAGCATAGCTCCTCCTATGAAATGAAGTAATTGCTATTATCAGAATTCACGGGGTTCAAAAGCGCAAATTTCTTGACCTGGCTGTGCTTCCATTTTGGGCCACAAGAAATCGACTTTAGTGGAAAGACAAGCTCCGGAGGCGATGGCGAGGGCGGTGACGGCGACCTGAGTGATGGTGGAGGTGACGGCCCCGTGGAGAGAGCCAGAGCCGGAGGCAGCCGCCGCAGCGGCGATGACGTTGGCAGAGGTGAAGACGGAGCTGAGGGACGATGAGACTGCTAAGTTGGGTGCAATTTGGTCCAAAACACATCGGAATTTGGGGGAGCTGCGGAGGTGGAGACGGTGAAACTTGTGGGCTAACATGGTGTTCGTGTTGGTGGAGGAGCTTTGGCATGTCATGGCTCATGAGGAGCTTGGGTGGCTTGGTTTGTGGATCATGTGGTGGTTAACTTAATAATGCGAGAAGGAAAAGAAAAAACTTAATAATGCGGGCGAACGCCAAATGAAAAAAAAAAAAAACTAAAATAAATAAATAATATCACCAAATTATTATCATTTTAAAAATAAAATAAATAAATAATTTATTTTTTTTGCCCAAAAACAAAAACACACATACAAGTAATTGTAAATGTGTGGTCAGGCAACCGCCAACCGCCAACAGCCAAGTGCTCTCTTTCTAATTCTCCGTTAAGGGAGACAAGTGAGTCGTGACCGTTACAAAATTCCACGGTGGGCGTGGGCTGGCCTAGCCGTTAAAAAGATAAGTCTCTCTAGCGCTTGTCTTAAACGCTGACACGTGGAATTGGGTACTTTTAGCTTCTTTGCATATCTTTTTCTTCTCTCTCAAATTTTCACGGTGAGCTACAAATGGGCTCAAAAGAAATACAACCACAACTTTTTTATTTTTCAGCACCTTTTTTGGGTAAACATGAAAAATAAAAAGATGTTCTCAAACATCCAATAGATTTAAGCTTAATCTTTCAAACGCTAATCAATGCCAACAGAGTTTAAAATTTAGGTACTGTTTTTTTGTTGCCAAAGTTAGGAAGGGGAGGTGGGAAACTCACACACACGGTGCCACAAGGCTTGAACCCAGACCATTTGGAAGCACGCCAAAGGCCTTGGCCAATTCAACTAACAACATATTGGTAAATTTAGATACGTTTTTCAATCCACCCCAAGAAGTGGGCACCTGTGGCCCGTGGAGCAGAAGAAACTTGCATGTGGATTTAAATCTAAAATACACTTGGGGTCAATCATCTAGAAATACGCAAAGGAAATTTTCAAGAGACATCCAAATCATACATAATCTTCAGCAAATATTCATCAATTTCACAACCTGCTCATCTGCTGTTCTTCAATATACATTGGATTAAGTGACATGTCTGAATGCCAAGTCTTGGAGTAAGCACTGATTAAACTTCACCATCTTTAGAAAAACCCAAAAGGAAAAGAAAAAGTTGATTACAGTCCAGGGAGATTTGGATGCACAAATGACCAACTCTTCAGCATTATCAAATGACCAGCCCCAAGAATCCTAATAAACCTGCAGAAGAGACAAAGAACAAACATAATTAAACGGCCTGCCATTTAGTTGGTAAGACATAAGCAGGTAAAAAGTCTCAACCTCAAGTATTAGAATGATGAGGTGCCCACTGAAGAGTATCCAGCAGCTCTCATCTCTTTCAGTGTGTTAGCTAACCAATCCAAGCCCTCATAAAGGCCATCACCTTTAAGGGCACAAGTCCCTTGTATGTGCCATTTTCTGTTCTTGAGATCAAAGAGGCCTAGTCCTTCACATACTTCCATTGGCGACATAGCTCCTTTCTGGATCGGAAAACGAGAAAACACATAAATCACACCAAGTTATATTGGCGGCTGATAAATAAATCACACCAAGTTGCTAAGGAACCAACATTGCACAATCATGCGTATGCTGGGTGCTTGGAATGAATAAAACTTTCCCATAAGAAATAAGCCATGAGATGTGATAGGGGATCACTAAAGTTATCACCAATGAGTCCTAGCTCAAGTGGCATGGGCAGGATCGAATGAGGGGTTCCTAGGTTCAATTCCCCTTGTAAACAAAAGAATTTGGCCAGCTCCAAAAGCAAAAGAAAAAGACTAAACAGTACTTCGATGGAATGCAAATACTTTATTTTTCCTTAAAGACACCAGTCAGCAGCCCTGTGCTGCAATATCTGACATCTTGTAACCATTTATGGCGTGTTTACTAATCCGTAATCTGAATCAAAATAAGGAGTTGAATTCCGATTATGATTACTCCCGTGTTTACTTCACATGGAGGAATGAAAATGTAATTTAAGCATGCTGATTGGATCTCATACTTTAAGGGTTACATCTCATTACATCTCATTACATCCCATAAATCCAGATATCCTAAGTTCCAAATTCCTAACCCAATATGTAAGTCATCACAACAGCAAACTAGAAAAGGCAATAATTCCCTGTCTTATCCTGAAATTTGGAGACTAGCCAGTGAGAGAATCTTATGTTGGCCACCAACATCCATATTCTTATGTTCATTGAAATCATGAAATTTAGATCATTCATGCAATATATGGATCAGAAACTAATGCTGTGGCATACCATATCCTGTTTATTAGCAAACACCAAGATGACACTGTTGAGCATAAACGGATCACTGATGATGGCCTGAAAGAATAAACATAGATAAGTGAGAAACAATCACCTAGACTTGTATATAAACTGTATTCATTTCTTAATATACAACCTGAAATTCTTCCTTGGCTCTTCCGATTCTCTCTCTGTCCAAGGAATCAACCACGTAAATCTGCATATAGAAAAAAAAATTATATATATGAAAAGGCACAAACAGGAAAGAAACTAAAAGAGAGACAACTGACTAGCAAGATTCGAGAACTGGAATCCAGTAGAACAAGACTAGAGAAAGTTCAATTACCAGTCCGTCTGTGTTATTGAAGTAATGCCTCCAGAGTGGCCTTAGTTTCTCCTGTCCACCAACATCCCAAACAGTGAACATGACATTCTTATACTGAACTTTCTCCACATTGAAACCTGTTGAGACAAAGAAATGCCTTAACATAAAAATCTAAACAACCTATAATACTTCAAGTCCAATTGTAGATATGAGAGACGCCCACCTATGGTGGGCACAGTTGACAAAACTTCTCCAATGTGCAGCTTGTAAAGGATGGTTGTTTTACCAGCTGCGTCGAGGCCAAGCATTACAACCTATGGCACCACCGCAAATGAAAATGGCAAATAAGGAAAGTGAAGTAAATATCATGCTCTTAAATTTAAGGTAAGCAACAGAAGAACAAAAAAAAGAAGCAAGAAGTCAAGTATTTAGAATTTAATGAATAAGCCATTTTTCCATCACTTTTACAGGAATAAGTAGAAACCTATAAAACTTATTGGGGAGGGTAAGGTATTAATGTGATCATACAATGTTATCTAATCATTGAGAATTTGAGAATCAAATAGTAAATATGCTGCAATTGCACTGTCCCCCAATAACTGATAATGAAAGAGAGTTAAAAAAAACGAAAGAGGCAAGAGAGAGGTGAGCAAATTCAGAAAACGATATTAAATATGCATATGATTATAATGACAATATGAAGTCCGGCCTCCTATGAATCACAATATTCAAAAGAGCAATTGAAAATTTTAACCGGTAAAAGCTAAAGGAAAGGCAAGAAAGAAACCATTACGACATGAGCCCTACATATCCCTGGGCAGCTACAATTGTCAAACCACAGAAAAGGGAAAAGAAAGAAAATGCTACAAAATTGGTACGAAATAAAAATGAAAATGAAAAAAAAAACAGAGAGAGAGAGGGAGAGGAGGGAGTACTCTCATCTCAGTGTTTCCGAAGAAGGTATCGAAGAGCTTCCGAAAAGCTTGACCCATGACGGCAAGCAAAATACTTGAACAAGAGAAAAAGAAAAGCTCGATCTCTTTCTTTCTTTCTCTCTCTCTCTCTCTCTCTCTGTGTCTGTGTGGGTGTCGAAGTGATTGTGAACTTCACGAGCTCATCGACTAATAAGAAAGAGAAATCAGCTGAGTTATGATTTGATGGATCGATTGGGGTTGATCGATATTTAGAGAGAGAAACAACCACCCGCGTGATGTGTGAGAGAAAGAAATAAAAATCAGAAACAAAGGTAGCGTTTTTCTTTCTTTTCTGCAAAGACTAAAACGAACGAGAATTTTTAATTTTAATTTTATTTTATGAAACAAAAACAACAAAGGAAAAGAAAGAAGAAAGTAAATTAGGGAGGAATTAGAATATTGGGTGTTTCTTTCATTTCTTTTTCACTCCTCGACTCAGCAAGTGGTTATTTAGTGGTAGAGTTTGTTTTGATGGGCCCATATTGAATGGGCTGGTACTGGGTAGGCAGGCAGTGAGTTCTATGGGCTGAATTGAGCTTTAGAAGAGACAGCCCAAAAAAGGAGAAGTGGCGTGGCCGCGTGGGCGTGGCGGGGGTTATCACGTGCATTATTCATCTTCAAAGGAGGCTAAGCCAGCCACCAGTCTCTCTCTAGAGTCTAGACTAGTATCATGTTTTTGTGTTCCGTTCCATGAAGAAGAGTAGAGGATAGGCTGATTTTCTGGTGTCTTGTGTTGTGACAACCCCCACTCCTTTGCCACTATACCTATATAAAGTCCAATCCAATCTCATCCAAATCCCTCCTCCTCATGATCCCACTCCAATTAGTCTTATTAGCACATACATATATGGCACCACAACCGATTGATGATGATCATGTTGTGTATGAGCATCATGTGGCGGCCCTAGCCTTCCCTTTCTCCACCCATGCCAGTCCCACCCTTGCGCTCATCCGCCGCCTAGCCGCTGCCTCTCCCAACACTCTCTTCTCATTCTTCAGCACTTCACAATCCAACAACTCACTCTTTTCCAACACTAATACCAATCTTCCACGTAACATAAAGGTGTTTGATGTGGCTGATGGCGTCCCCGACGGCTATGTGTTTGCGGGTAAGCCCCAGGAGGATATTGAGCTTTTCATGAAGGCTGCCCCCCACAACTTTACAACCAGCTTAGACGCCTGCGTGGCTCACACCGGGAAGCGTCTCACCTGCTTGATCACCGACGCCTTCCTTTGGTTTGGGGCCCACTTGGCACACGACTTGGGAGTCCCTTGGCTCCCTCTTTGGCTCTCCGGACTTAATTCCCTCTCCCTCCATGTCCATACTGACCTCCTCCGCCACACCATCGGAACTCAAAGTATGTACTCTTGCTCCTCCATCCTCCACTTTTCCTCAGATATCTCTTAGCTTTGTTTGATGGGATGGGTAATATCTATTCGATTTATTGAATAATGCATGCTTCCGCAGGTATTGCAGGTCTTGAAAACGAACTCATCACCAAGAATGCCAACATCCCAGGAATGTCCAAAGTACGAATCAAAGATTTGCCTGAAGGTGTCATCTTTGGAAACTTGGACTCAGTCTTCTCACGCATGCTGCATCAAATGGGCCAACTGCTACCCCGTGCCAACGCAGTTCTCGTAAACAGCTTTGAAGAACTGGATATTACCGTAACAAACGATTTGAAATCCAAATTCAACAAGCTTCTCAATGTCGGACCTTTCAACCTAGCTGCTGCTGCTTCCCCTCCACTGCCGGAAGCCCTAACAGCCGTAGACGACGTTACTGGTTGCCTGTCCTGGCTTGACAAACAAAAGGCTGCATCCTCCGTGGTGTATGTTAGTTTTGGGTCAGTCGCAAGGCCACCGGAGAAGGAGCTTATGGCGATGGCACAAGCCTTGGAAGCCAGCGGTGTACCCTTCTTATGGTCTCTCAAGGACAGTTTCAAGACACCTTTGCTAAATGAGTTGCTAGTAAAAGCAAGTAATGGGATGGTGGTGCCCTGGGCTCCCCAGCCACGTGTCCTAGCCCATGCATCAGTCGGAGCCTTCGTAACGCACTGCGGTTGGAGCTCATTGCTGGAGACTATAGCAGGCGGGGTGCCAATGATTTGCAGGCCTTTCTTTGGCGACCAAAGGGTCAACGCAAGAACGGTGGAGGACGTGTTGGAGATCGGGGTCACTGTTGAGGATGGGGTTTTTACCAAGCACGGCTTGATCAAATATTTCGATCAAGTTTTGTCACAACAAAGAGGAAAGAAAATGAGAGGCAACATAAACACCGTTAAACTACTCGCACAACAGTCGGTTGAACCAAAAGGGAGCTCAGCTCAGAATTTCAAATTATTGCTAGATGTCATATCTGGATCCACTAAAGTATAAGTTATAACTACAAATATGTCGCATAAGAATAACCGAGCTGTACTTCACTATTATTCGCATAATGATTTTCCCTCAATAAAATCCAACTTAAAGCTTTGCTTCTACTATTTATCTCGCTCATTCATCGAATCAACTTCAATCTTTGGATTCGATTGTTGTACAGGCAAATTTAGCACATAACCCAAATGAAAAGGCTAAGCTAAACCTGATTTTCTCAACCCTCAATCAACACAGCTGCTTGGGTCATAAATTATAAGGTCACTCAACTCGTCGCAAAGACACCAAACTATAGATGATTTGCTAATCAAAAGGAAACATATGGTAAACACAATCGAATTACACAATTTTCACTGTTCTCCAAGAGGGTAACAAAAAATCGGCGCCCTTCACTAACGCAATGAGACAACACATCCTATAAAAACCAGACCAAAAAATAAAAGAACAGGGAATTTCTACACAACCCAGCGAGGTTAGTATTAAATTACACCTAAGATGAATCATCGATACTAGCATAGAGTCATTGAAACAGATTGCATCCCATCTGGCGAGTTCAAACTACAAAGATCAATTTGGATCCAGCAAAACCCTTAAATGACTCAAAATATACTCCCTCCCTAAATCAGCACCTAAATAATCTACACCCATCCAATAGACTTAAAAGGCAACAGTGCAGCCAGCAGGCTACAGGAGCCTTTGTGATTTTACTAATTTCAACTATGAAACAAAACGGAAACTAATCAGGGAAAAAAATGCTGTTGCATTGGCAGATTCCGATGATTGAATCAAGGCACCCATTGCATCTCCATCAGTCGTCCATGAAATTAGCCTCAACATTAGAATTAGCCACCTAGGAATCAACCATTTCATCCTGTATCTCATTGGGGGCAATGAGCCCTGGAATAGAAAGCATTCGTTGCCGATCTTTCTCCCTCTGTGCAGCAGCCTCCTCTGCATAGAGATCTTTGTTGTCCTGCACAATCACAACATTCAGTTTGAACATTCAGATCACACTCGGATTTTGTTTAAAAAGTAGGGAAATATCCCAGCATAAGACATATGGCCAGGGAAGATGCAACATTTTACATCAACTTTACAAATTAGTCCACAGAAGAATATCAAATTTGTCACGGCTGAAAGCGAAGAGAAAACAAAAAGGAGAGTATCAATCAATTGGCCAGTCCAAGCATCATCTGGTGCTTCTGGATCCCTACCTGTGCAGAAAATTCTTTGGATTGCACTAGAAAATCTCGGATGTGATTCTTAAATGTGGATAGGTCAGTCCTCGAGTCAAATAGTCCACTCACAAATTGAGTGACCTGGAAAAAACCTTCAGTTAAGTCATATGTAGAAAAACAACTGTAAGACAATCATAATAGTATCATATTTATACCTCTGTTCCAGTCATGTTCGGGAATGAAGTACTCAAAAGCTTGATCGTATACTCACGAACAAAAATTCCATTATTGGGATATGGATAAGGAACCGCTGCAATATCCCACAGAGGCTCCGTCAACGTACCACTTTCCACCTGTAAATATGTAACTCTTAATTAGGCAAGCTCGAGAATCAAAGAAAGAAGGTATCAAAATAACAAGATACAATACCAGGCAAAATAAATGTTGGAGCACCAAGACATGCAACTTGAACCCAGGCTTATGAAACGTGTCCGTCAAGACAGCAAAGATTTCTTGTTCGATTGTCAAAAAGTATGTACGGTAAAATTGATTACAGAACTCCGACTTCTGTCAAATCAATCAAAACATTGTGAGCATCTTAATACCACACTTTATTTGACACAAATATGCTCAATGTCACACCTGAAAGTTCTTCAGCATCTCCAGCAACAGGTTCAGCCCTGTTTCCGCAATGTTTCTTTCTGTGTGCCGAAACGCCCATATAATTGAATCCATTACAAGCTTTAGTTGCTGACGTATACAAAAAAATATGAAAACAATTAACAGTCAATTTGTGATAATTATCAAATGTTAAACAGACGCCAATAAGCCCTCATATATAACCAGAGAACACTGACAATCAAAACACAGCCAAAAAAAGGGGGATGAAATTAAGCACAAACCGGACTTGATAACCGAATCAATGCAGGAAAACAATGAGCAGCAATGGCACGAAGTAAAGAGAAGAACTTCAGGCGATGCTCTGGGTAATCTTCAAAATTTTTGGTAATCATCTGCAATTGCACAGAATCTAGACATGTAAAGAAAACAACAGAAGTACAAATCAATCTTAAATAACTTTACACACCACACCAAACCCTATTTGGTATCAGAGGATATGCACCACAAACATATCACCAGCACAGATTCAAAAATCGCTCTTTAGCAATGCATTATGGAGAAAGGCACACATAATAAGAAGTTAGGAACAAAACTAACATGTTCAGCCACCAAACAATTCATTTGTTAAAATTATAGGTGTGAAGATAAATATTAACTAACTTATAATTGCACTGATTTTTTTTTTTCATGGTTACTTGAAAAACAGTATTAGAGGACATCTAAATATACGGCAGTATTATGATAGTGCTCCAAATATTAATATAGAATCTCAGTAGTTTTGGCTCCACAGCATGACAGCCCACATCCTTACCTCCAATGTGCACTGGAAAACAGCTTCAAATATTCGAGGCACATCATCTATCATTGCACCCTTGTACCTAAAAACAAGGGATAAAAATATTTAAGCTATGGAAAGAAACTAAAACAAAATTATAATTTTTTAATGGAAAAATAGTTGGTTAAAGGATTTAGCAAGATACCAACATGTATCTAGAAAGAAATAAAGCAAATAACAAGGTAATGAAAGAAAGATTGCATACTTATTTATAATTGTGGCAAAAAGTGACAAAACCTCTGACTCTCTAGCATCAGGCAAATTCCTGGCATAGTCACCAAGAACCGGATCCAACATTGGAGGAACAATTTGTTTTCCTATATGTGCTTGGTCTTCGGCCTTGTCCAAGAATGTCTCAATCAGCTTGAGAGTCTCCCTCTTTACTGACCTGTTCAATGGAATAGATTAAAACATGGTATTTGAGGGTTGTATGTTAAACTATAAGGTAAATTGTATAACAGGTCTCACCGTAGAAGTTTCACATAGGATGTCTTAGAAGCGAAGGGGCCCCCTTCTGCAATGCTACTAGATACGAGCTCACTGTACATCCTGTTCAAAATAAACAGAGCCGCACATAACCATATCAGTTGAAAATGAAAGAAAATTAAACAACTGAAACTTTTACTAAGACCTAAAAATGTTGACCATACCTGTAAACATTAAGCATGTCCAGAAAGATCAATGAAATCTGACTCAGGAAAAACGTTCCAAGGGAGCTGGCAACACTAGTATTTGTCTGCAAATCAATAATGACCGGCATAATTACAATGAATTGAAAACAGAACTGACTATAGGATAATCAATACAACCACTAGAATAATCACATTTAATATTGATGTGACACAATAGGATAAACAATCCTTGCAAATAGAAGTAAAGGATTCATCGCTGATGCAAAGGAAAGGAGCACGTAGAAGGTCCACAATGTAACAGAAAGTGCACAATCTAACATAAAAAGATTCAGCACAAAAAAATACCAAGATACTAATCAGGGTAATCAAAGACTCTTATCTGCAAAATGTCTATACATCAAAATGTAAAAAATTCATACCTGTAATATATTAAGCACAGTGCGAATAACCTCCTGATCCTTGAGGAAATCTACACTCAAGCGCGCTTGCCCTATAATCTCTGCCCATTTCTGGAGAACAAGCAAATATCATAAGCTACAAGCTAGTTTCGGCACCTGCGAGTAGTCATGCATGTCTTTGTGTATGTGTGTGTGTGGAGAGAGAGAGAGAGAGAGAGAGAGAGAGAGAGAGAGAGAGAGAGAGAGAGAGAGAGAGAGAGAGAGAGAGAGAGAGAGAGAGAGAGAGAGAGAGAGAGAGAGAGAGAGAGAGAGAGAGAGAGAGAGAGAGAGAGAGAGAGAGAGAGAGAGAGAGAGAGAGAGAGAGAGAGAGAGAGAGAGAGAGAGAGAGAGAGAGAGAGAGAGAGAGAGAGAGAGAGAGAGAGAGAGAGAGAGAGAGAGAGAGAGAGAGAGAGAGAGAGAGAGAGAGAGAGAGAGAGAGAGAGAGAGAGAGAGAGAGAGAGAGAGAGAGAGAGAGAGAGAGAGAGAGAGAGAGAGAGAGAGAGAGAGAGAGAGAGAGAGAGAGAGAGAGAGAGAGAGAGAGAGAGAGAGAGAGAGAGAGAGAGAGAGAGAGAGAGAGAGAGAGAGAGAGAGAGAGAGAGAGAGAGAGAGAGAGAGAGAGAGAGAGAGATTTGTGTATGTGTGTGTGTGGAGAGAGAGAGAGAGAGAGAGAGAGAGAGAGAGAGAATAACAAGTAAATCCTAAAACATTACAATTGCATTTAAACAAACCTGATTTGGGAGATTCATCAATCTCTGTAGATATTCATCCCGCTTTTGAGGATCAGATTCTGCTTGAATCATATTACCAACCTAAGGTAAACAAAAGGCAATTTTTAATAAAACAATTTTCTGTCAAAATATCTAGCAAAAAGGGCACAAAAAGGCATACAGCTTCATAAAAAGTATGAATCTGGTGAGGCTCAAGATCGGCAACAGTTGTTGGCAGGCCTGTCAGGAGTTCAGACACAAATGGTTCATTTTCTCCAAGCTGAAATCACAAAAGCATTCATAGATCATAAAACTTGAAATAATTAACCCTTCTTTGCAGAACATAACACCAAAAAATCAATAATTGCTTTCCTTTTACCCTGGTCTAGAGATACATAATTTTAAATTTTAAGACAAGGAGTGTACTAAAATGCTAAGTAACAAGGCAAAATCTTACAAAGAAAAAAAGAATACCTGTACAATAACAAATTTACGCTTGCACTTCTGAACAATTTTCAGGAATGTGTCACAGGCCATATCCTGAAACATATGCCACAATAGTTATAGAAGAGTGCGATATCAATAAAATATGTCCCTATGACTAACCCAATGAAAAAGAAAAAAAAAAGGGAAACTTGAAAGGAACATAAATACTTATATAACTCATGCATTAGAATAAAACATTGTAAAACTTAAGACATGTACATCTATCTATTTAACTTCAAAATCAACCTTAAACAAGAACTCACCTGAACTCCGGGATGGGTTTCATGCATAAACTCAAACAACTTATTCACAACAGTCTTTAAGAACTTCCAATGAGCTCTTAAAAACCTTGGGTATTGTCCAACAACATACCTGAAAACAAAGCAAAACTTCAAACGTATGAATATTTATACTATAAAAATACATGGAACAGATAAGATTCTCAACTGAACTTATGTAAGCACTAGAATGCACCATGCGCTTATTGGTAACACATTTCAGGTAGAAAAAACCTTTAGCTTAAACTAAAAAACCCCTTTAGAATCACAAATCCTTACATAATGTTGCTAGCAATAACTGCTTTGTTATCTTTCCCTTTTATGATTTCACATAAATTCAGCAAGTCGCGTATGACCATCACCAAAAATCTATTTTCCTGCAAAAGGAAAAGGTACATTCATCAAGAGGCATTCTAGAATAATAGCTGCATAAAGAGGGTGAGACAACAATGGGTCATCAAATAGATGCAGACTATGCAAAACAAGGAACTATATTATTTATCCTAGTTGAAAAGAGTATCATCAGTGAATTCTTCGAATAAGAAAGAAGATTAAAGAAATGATCATAGAACAGAGAGCAAACAATACCTGTTCTTCCATCATGGAACCAGATATGGACCCTATTGCCCAGCATAAGGTGTTTAAGTTGTTCCATGCCCAATCCTCACCACTGAGTTGCTTGCTTAATTTCTTTAGCATCTGTGTTCGAATGTCAATAGAAATACAATGTAGGAATAATTACTTCACTGTTAGAGGTTCCCCACAAAAGAGATTACAGCAAAAGGAATCTTCTCGGTGCTAGAAAAGATTCACTTAAAGAGGCAGAGTGGGGGAAAATTTATTAAGATGCAAAGAAAATATTGTGAAAGTAAAATAAATCATAAAATTCGCATTATGACCATTCAGAAACTATTTTGTATGAACTCGATTAAAGTCATGTATATTTAAATCACATATGAAACATTTATTAAGACAAGAGAACATCATGCTACAAGCAACACCTTGCAGGGTCATGCATCAAAAGAATCTAACAGTAAGGCTTAACTATTGTTTACTTTTACTTCATAGAAAGGAAAACAAAAAATTCCCTTTACCTGCTTCTCAGTGTCCTCATGGTCAAGGTGTGACAAATAGATCAGTGTCTCCCTCATGATCTACAAGATCAAAATGACACCGATAACAAAAATAAGTGAGAAAACATTCAAGAAAGAAAATAACTAATAATCCAATACGTTTTCTATTACTAAGAAAGAAGCATATCATAGAAACTGAGTTTCTGGTAAAACTAAAATGCATTCAGCTAATAACACCCACCATAACATGCTGAATTAAATTGAAAGCAGCATCCCTAAATTGTTTTGACAATGACACCTATAAAGGTACTAAAAGTCTGCTTTCGCAAAGATAACTTCACCCGTCAGAGATCTTATTATTTCTTTTTATTCATTACAAGAAGGTTTAACATTATTTTAACAGTGTAGCAATTACAAAAATATCAACAAAATGAAGATGTATCACCTTATATTGAACAAGAACATCATTGTCCTTCAAGGTCTCACGAACAATGTTCCCATTCTCATCTTCAACAATGAGAACCTCTTCTGGCTTAGCCATTCGACAGATCATGAGCAACCTCAACTTTGACATAATACTGGCATATATTTGCCGCCTTTGCATAATCTGTGAGCCAAGGCCATCAACCATACTAGGAAGCAAATTCATCTGCTTATTCAATACAAAGTAGACCATCAAAAAACAATATAGATGACAAGCTTGCAAAATTATGCAGATGAGTGAGTGAAACCCTGGACATAAAGGTGTCTTTACTATGAAGCATAAAATAAATTTAAAAAGCTTCTGTAGATAGTATTTTCAAAACTCTTCTGAACATAATTTCCAACAAGAAAGTTGCCCCATACCATATCTAACCTCATACACAGAAAATCCACTTTTTTAAACAAAACTAAAGTAGCATTGCATTTACATGGTTAATGTGATTGTCGACGTGAATGAGCAAGAGTGACATGGACACAATGCTTAGAAACCTACTGTCTCAAAATTTGTTGGTAAAATATTTGAATTTTATTGATGGGAAAATGATAAAGGTTCCAATGGTTAACAGAAAATCTCCCCAAATTTTCAAAAAACTTTCAAGAGACCTACCTAATTCAGACTTGTTCAGTCTCTTTCAAGATGGAAGGTTAGCAAGTTCTGAGATGATAAATTGATCTTTCCCTAGACAACACCCTCTTGTTGATGGAAACCTAGAAAATACTTACCTCTCTACTACCAATTTCAAATCATAAATCTTTATTCAACTACAAAGAGATAAAAAATAAGTTTGAACGGTCATACTAAAGAAAAACATGGGGATTCAAGTAAAAATTGAGGATACATCCATACAAAGTAGAAAACAGAAGACTCAAACCAACAAAAATTTCAAAGATAAAAGTATCTAAATTACCTGCAGCCCCATCATATTTGCAGTTGCTGCAGGGTTATCCAAATTATGATGTGCCTCAAACAATTCCAAAACCAAGGAATTCCAATAGTCTAAGCAAACCTGCTCGATCAAACAGCCAAGTCTAAGTCAAATTATCACATCATCTGTTCAAATGGGAAAAGAGAGAAAGGGCTGGATAGGGCCTTCGGGGTGGGTGCTAGAGAACACATCATAATTAATCATACCTTAAAAACTTCAGTGTCATCCACATATGAGATGTTTATTAGATATTCAAGACCCATCAGCAATGCAGCTATATTCTCTTGTGTGGTTTCAAGCACACGAATATGTGACTGCAAAAAGGAGACAATTAATAGCATCATCATTGGCGGCTTAAAGATCAACACAGAACTAAACTCAACAGCAGAACTATCATATCCCCTATATCGAACACTAAATTCTATCTATTGATAGAAAAGTCTTCGTCAAATACAGCTGGTGAAGGCAAAGCAATATATCAACATATTCATCTGAAAGAGAAACTTGCCTTGTTAAACGAAGTGAGAAACAGTGCCAAGTTCTGAATGAATGCCTGAAGAAACAACATCATATGAACTAGTTAAATACAACAAAAAAAGAAGCCTAAAATCATTAAAGACAATATACCTGTTCATCGCTAGATCCATTTGCATAAGCTTGAGGGATGTTTGTGGTAGGTGGGAGAATAGTCTGATTGGTTTCAATAAAAAAGAAATTAGGAAATCAGAAAATTTGCCCAAAGTCATATACATTGAGAATATGTAAATTTTATGTCTATGTAGTTCAAAGAATACTCATGTCTCTGTAAACTTTTCGATTATGAGTAATTTTCTTAAAAAATACAATTGATTAAAATCAAATATTTACTTTTAATTTTTAGACCCCATATCTTTATTATATACTATCTAGTGCATACCAAGTTTATAAACTCATCTTCATATTTGGCTGAACTTTTAACCACATTTTACAATAAGTTTATCAAATTATACATATTTTCCCATCCCATGTATTACTAACTGCATATTGAACTCTAAATGTTATGTTAAATTAGGCATAACATATACAAAATTGATAGTGGCACACCTGTAACTGGACCATGAATATATTATACATCTTAACATACTGTGCATTGTAGAATTCACCAAAACTAAGTGCTGCAACCTGAAAACCAAAAAAACATATGATGAAACCTAAATCATTGAAAAGGCAAATACTGCATTATCTCCTTGTTTCTTTTGAGATAAGTTCAACGACCACATAATTGCTTCAACAGAAATGGAACAACAACATACCTCCGTTAAACACTGAATGGTGAGATTCCGGTAAGAAGGCATTGGAAAAAATTTTAGAAGGGTTTCAAGCTGTAAAATACACACACAATATAGAAAGATAAGGATAAATCCTTTAAAAGGGCAATCAAGAACTACAAAACAGTGTTATACATACCAAAGGGGACTCAAATATATAACCCAAGGGAATCCACGAGAGGAAAGCATGCAATGTGGATAACGTTGCACGTATGAGTTCGGCTCTTTGAGACGCTGATAGTACATAAAGGCATAACTCATGAATGAGTTGAAACTCACTGCAAAAAAGATCGAACACAACAGGAAGTAAAAAGTTTGGGCCAACACAATACATTGACATGTCAATACCACAATAAATTCAAAAGCTCTTTTGATTACGAACAAAGATGCCAAAGTCATCAGCCAATTACCTGTTCAATGATTGTTTAAGCTCTTTAATCTTCAGCTGAGTCATTTCCCCCCTTGAGAAGTCAAAAACCTCTTCACTTAAAAGCTGAGGGTAACACATTCAAGCAATTAGTAGCTACTCAATGTGTCATAATAAATTTGATTTCTATCTTTGAAAAAGTTGAAAATTAAAAAGGCTTACTTTCAATATGGCCATACAATTCTCACAAATTGTTTCACTAGTTTTAGCTGCTGAAACGAGATCCGGTATAAAGCTTTGCCATCTAGCGGGCCAATCATGCTTCAAAATCTGTATATAGAGTAACCTCAATATATTACATTACAACACATATCCAAAGCTACCAAAGCAAGCAATTTCAGATTTTAATAGACAAAGATAAATTCAAATACACAGATTTTCTGAGACAACTGTAAATACAATCAAAGTGAAAAGAATCAATGGAATAATGGAAAAGTAAACACAGTGCATGGTACAAACAATTAATCCCAAAAAACAAGCAACAAAGGCAATGATCCTCCTGGGGAGGGAAGCAAGGAAATACCTGAACCAATATAATATTGAGTTTGTTGACATACAGTCTCTCCATTCGAAAAGAGGCCTCATTACTTGATAGCTTCGCAAGAGGAACAAAAGGTAAGAAAGAATATAAAGCCCGTGAAAAAACCATCAAACAAGATTTAACACTAGCAAAACTTCCCCTCCTCAAAGATTTACTGCATGACTCATACCTGAACAATGACGTCAGAGATATAATTTTTCATTCCATCTCGCTGTTCAACAGGTAATGCATTCCACCTATACTTGATAACCCCTTCTAGGACCTGTAAGTGGATGAAAAGACAACCCTCATGAGATCAGCACCTTAAAATAGGGACGGAAAGATTTATGCAGGTTGTGATGGAAAGTAGAATAGCAAATTTTCCAAAGCATCAAACCATTAACAAGCTAAACAAATATGCAGCAAGATTTGATGGTATAAACGTTCTGTAGACTTTACTAAGATGCCTTCTTTCATGAAGGACAGAAACATGCTCCCAAGTAGTCAACTTGATTATTATTCTTGTCATGTCCACATAAAGGCATTCTATTTTTGGCAGTTTTAAAATGCCTGTCACAGCCCTGCTGTGGCCTTGCTGCCCTAGTGCAATGACCGTCCGGGCATCTGACTGCAGCCTAGTTAGACAAAAGGAAAATGCAGTCTTATAGATTGTTATGCAACAAAACTGACCTGCAAGGCAAAGAACTTGGTGTTTAGGTTCTTAGCGCTCTGTAAAATGTGCACAACTTGGAGCCACATATCCGGATTGTTCTGCAAGTCCCGCAATATATGGTCTGCAGCTGTCCTCTGCATCACCAACATTTGGGGGGAAAATACTCTTAGAAAATAAACTACTTGAAAAAAACTATATTACAGCCCAGAATATTACAAGTTAAGCATATAACTTGCCAACAAATCGATTCCTCAAATACAAAACCTACTCTAAGAATAACAAAAGTTGCTTGGATTAGTAGGTTAAAATAAAAATAACAATTCCTGTAAAGCTAAGAATGTGAAGGGATACAAAACCCATTTTTTCTAGGCTTGTGAAATTCTTTGAGCGGAACATACAAATTTACGCAATATCAACCAATCAGTAAAAATCTCTTTTCTTAATCACAGTACCAGAAGACCACAAAATAGGCAGATATGTAATGTTCAGAAATCCATCAAAAGCTAACTGTTCCCAGAGCAAGACATCGAAGCTAAGTCCTAATTGCGTCTAAAGTTATTAAAATTAAAATAAATAAAAAACAAAAGCGGTTTTCAAGTGTTAAACCCTAAGACTGAGAGAGCTTCAATTTTCACTCAACGTCTTGAAAACCAAACAGAAAGCACAAGCTATCTAAGTGAAGGCCTTGTAAGGCAGGCTTAAACCCTAGGGGCCAAAAACCTCGATTGCAGTAGCAAATTGGCCACACTTGGTCGGAAAGGAAACAGAGAGTAGAGAGAGAAAGGAGCACGAAGCCCTCACCTCCTCCTTAGATCCGGTGCCGTAGAAGGCAGCGACGGTGGCATCGAGCAAGCCGACGTCAATCGGTTGGCTCAAGTCCCTAAGCTTCTCGGCCGCCATGGCCAAGTGCGTGAGATAGAGACGAGGGAGGACGATCAAGCACAGTCGGATAAACCCTAGAGGGCAAGGGAGTGAAGAGAGAGATGAGGAAACACCCAAACCCTAGGAGAGAGAAAGATTCTAGAGAGAGAGAGAGGAGAACAGTGTTGTGTTGATGAGAAGGAAAGGGTGTGTGTTATTAATTTATATTAATTAGGAAAAGATAGAGAGGGGGGAGGGAAATAAAGACAGCTTGAAAATGAAGCAGTGGTAGCGTGCAGCGAGCGAGTGAGCGACTGAAGGCAAGGGAGGGGGACGGGGGAGTTGTTTCTTTGTTTGTTTGTAGGGTGGGATTTGGGGTTTGTTGGGGTTTGGGTTTCAACTTTGAATTTGGGTTCTTTACTCTCTTTCCGTTGTGTGCTTTTGCCTCCTCTTCTTCTCTTCTTCTCTTCTTCTCTTCTTCTCTTCTTCTCTTCATTTATTTATTTATGTACTCCCTCCCCCAGATGAGATATTCGGAATTTTTTAGTGACTCGGTTTGTCTCTTAAATGTTGTTGTAAATTGTAACCGTGCGTGACCAAAAATAAGTTCATTGAGAGATACTTGGGCCCTAGAATATAGTTGTATCTATCCACCCTACAAATATGGCCATTTAATCTTTGAGGGTGTAGGTGGACTTTTGCTCTTCAAATATTAAAATTAAAATTAAAATTTATTAATTTGCGTGACTATGGGTCTATGGAAAAAGTTAACTAAAGGTCGAGTGGGGCCGGTTTGCCTGGCTGTCCTGTGACGCTATAGTTGAAGAAGCTGCCTATTTTGTCAATACGTAATTGGGTACACTTTTATATTTTGTATTTTAAAAAATTCTTTGGAAGGGTTGAAAGGGGAATTTTAGTTTTCCTATTTTTCCTTTGGTCAAAATTTGTCTGAATATTGAAAAGGGGGAATTGGCTTGCCTTCGAGAATCTGCTGGAATATTATTGGCTCCGAGTCCTAGCTGGCACTGTTGCCGGTACTTTAGCGGCATGGGGTACTTGGGCTGCCCAATAGCTTACGGATGATGTGCCAGGAAAGCTCAACTCAACTTGGAGATTACACTTTTGGGCTTTTGATAGTGCGAATCTTGGGCTTTTACGGTTCATGGCCTTCGATTGGAATCAATTGGCATTATCAATGATCCTTCCTTTCCTTGTCACATAGTATAACAAGGTGAGGAGAATCATGAAAGTATAAATTGCATTTGCATCTTCTGAGATTTAGCCAGCTTCCGAATCCGAACTAAACTTTCTACTACTTGTGAAATTGCATACATTTTTATCAAGGTTAAAGGTTTTATTTGGATAATGGGTATCCCTGGATCCATCTTGTATTTGATTATATTAAAATAGATCGCACTATTGACATATTTTAATTTTAATTTATTTCTTCACTCTCTTAAAAACCAATATCAACCAATTCAATTTAAATTATTGGTATACCAACCCAACCAATATTAATATTGACTTGGTTCGTGGTTTATGACATGTTTACTTATTTGGAATTGAGGAAATTAGGAATATAATAAGGAATTGGAATTAGATTAACTATCCCTTCCTAGTTGATCAAGTTCTTGATTTTGAGGGTATTAGAGTATTCATTTCAGGTGAAATCCTCATATAATTTAAATGTTTTATGTGTAAATAAACATGGAAAAGTTTGAAATTATAGTAAATTATTTATTCTCACTGTCATTTGTAGTAAGTAAGTATGTGTCTTGCCAACGAGGTCTAACTTAGCGAAAAAAAACTTTGATTTACATCTAATGACCTCAAATTCGAACCCCATAACACTTTGACAGTGCGTCTATGAAAAAACACCCATTCCCCTTCCTCACGTGTGGCAGTACAAAACAAAAACATGTCATTGAGTCTTAAAACTTGCCAAACCGAATTGTGACTATTTACTAGTAGCCCAAGAATAAAAGAAATTCATCTATGATAACAAAATCTAACAAATTTGGGGCCCAAGCCCAAAAGGAAAAGATAACGACCCGTCACACGGCTCTCCAGACTCGAACCCAATATTTTTGGTGGGCCAGCTACCCTGATCAACTGAAAAACTTGGTCTCACAAATAAGTAGTTCCTCCCTCCCTGATCATGTCAACATTCAAAGCGAAGAATGGCAGATACGGGGAGGAAGATCAGACGAAGTACATGTATGTTTTTTTCTTTTTTTGGCAAAGACCTGCCGGAAGTCAATGCTCACGCTGCGTGATATACGAGCCGTCAACTTTAAACCGACGGGGAAAAAAACGCTTACATCGGGTTTGAAAGTCTGATAGCATTTTCTACTGAAGCAAAAGCAAAACCAACAAGGCAGAGAAGAGCAAGCAAGAAGCAAAACAATCCACGGAACGAAAGGAAACAAAGATTTCAAGTTAGAGAAGAAGCCGTAGCTAAGCGTAATAAAATCATGTATCTGTTTAGGTTAGCAGGAGACATAACCCATCTGCTCAGCATAGTTGTCTTGTTCCGTAAGATCCGCACCACCAAATCTTGTGCAGGTATGAATTTGTTCATTCATTCTTACCTTTCTCTTACGTCCTTTGGACAGTTCTTGCTTTTGTTTTTCCTATGTGTTCCTGATGAGTTGACCAAGATCTTTTTTGTTCCATGCATGTTTATCGCCTAATTGAGAATTAGTGCTTTGACATGAGATTATTGTGGCAGCTTGGACTAAATTATGTTATGTTCAAACTCTCAAACCCCATTTTATTTTATTTTCCATTTTAACTGTTCGACAATTGATTGATTCTGGTTTGGTTAAGAATTTGTACTTGTTAGAAGGGTTAGAAGGGTGGAGGTGGTTGATTTGAAAGCTTTTGGGTTTTTTGTTTTGTAAATTCCTTGCTAGGTTTGCAGATTTCATATTCTTGAAGTATGCAGAGATATGCCCTTATTCTCATATGCATCCGAAAATAAAGAATGGTCGTTTTTGTTGAATTATTTTGACTCAATTCCCCAAATTCAGAGTTGAAAACTCGTTCAACTATTGCATTTAACCAGGAATTTCACTCAAAACTCAAGAACTCTACGGGTTGGTCTTTCTTACTCGATACAGTGGCTTGGTTATCAAGTATCACTCCTTGTATAACACTTTAGGGAAGCTCATCTTTATTGGAACTTCTCTTGCCACGGTCTGGCACATGAGGTACCATAAAGTAGTGAAGCAAACCTACAACAAAGATCAAGATACTTTCAGACATTACTATCTCATCCTTTTATGCTTGGGGCTGGCTCTTCTGATTCCGCGTTCTTTTACAGTAATTGAGGTACGAGGCATTTATCCTCCTCTTTCTTATGCCCTTATTGATCAGCTTATTATGCCTTTAAATGAATCACCTGCCACTGCCAGTTGTTTGGAAAGAAAGCTTGCATCCAGTTTTCTTTTTTAACCCCCATCAGTTTGTATGATGCTGTTACTTTTTACTCACATCTGATAGAAGCTTTGATCTATTCTGTTGTAATAGGTTCTGTGGGCATTTTCGATATATCTTGAAGCCGTAGCAATCTTACCACAATTGGTTTTACTACAAAGGTCAAGAAACATTGATAACTTAACTGGAAACTACGTTTTCCTTCTTGGGTATGTTCCAATTCCCATGAGGCATAAAAATGAATTTGCTTTTGTAATATCCACTTTCTTATCTGCAATGCAACTTGATTACAACTAGTAAGGATCATAGATTCACTTCTACTACCTTGTTTATGCTTTTCGGATTAAATTTATTATCTGTGGTGTTATATTTGTTTGGTAACTGTGTCTCTGTGCAGTGCTTACCGAGCCCTATATCTTCTCAATTGGATTTATCGTTTCTTCACAGAGCTTCACAGAGTTCTCTGGATACGTAAGTTCTCTGTTATAGCTTGCACTTGATACTCTTGTATCCCATTTTAGCTAAAAATTGATACAACGAATTATAACTTGTTGTCAAATGCCCAAAACAGCTTGGGTTTCAGGCCTTGTTCAGACTGCTCTTTATGCTGACTTTTTCTACTACTATATTAAGAGGTAACTTCATTATTCTACTCTTTTGTCTTTAATTGTTCCCCTAAGAATAGTTTGTTTCATTTCCGTGTGTGCGTGGAAGCCAGAAACATGTTGGAATACCTAGCAAGGGCTTTGAAAACTTGTTTCCATGCGCATTGTTAAAAACCAGCATATCTGATCTAGCTTCTAGGAACATGATTGTTTGCTGCTGGAAAATGGCACCAATACGTGAAACCAATTTTGATAATGAACTTTGAGTGCTGCTATTTCCTACTAACAACAAGCTACTCTGATTTTTCTTCAGCTGGAAGAAACACGAGGAGCTTAAGCTTCCTGCTTGAAGTGGATCATTCTGGATGTGTAATTTCCACTAACACAAAAGCAATGGATGCATACTTGAGGATGTAGAACCAAAGCTGGCCGCTGTTATCCTTGTCATGGGATTTTCTCCCTACATGCATTAATATTGTAATTTGTATAGTGCTGCAACATTTTCCAGGACTATCTAATGCATCTGCATCATCTATCATACCTGTTTTGGAATCAATCTGAAGGAAAATAAAAAAAGGAAAACAGGATTATAATAAAAGAAATGGTTAATTATCTACCAACCAATCACCTGCACTCACATTTTATGTGTTTAACCTTTTGTTTTGTTTACAATATGTGCCTTGCCTCCTTCATCGTCACAAGCCCTTCAGTTGAATTTGCACGCTAGCTCCTCTTGATCATCAAAAATCTGGAATTCTCTTTGGTTCCCAATTTTAAAGTATATCGATTTATATAATGTGTATAAATCAAGACACACAACGATGTTGAAATATATAAAGT